GACTGAGCCACCCAGACACCCCAAGAGTGGCTTCTTTTATTTAACATAATGCCTTTGAGACTTACCTAAGTTGTTGCATGTATCAGAAGCCTGTTCCTTGTTATTGCTAAGGAGGATTCTATTTTATCCACTCAACCCATGGAAAGACACTGGGATTTTTTTCAGTTTGGGGCTATTATAAATAGCTGCTGTAAACATGTACAAGTGTGAACATAAGTTTTCATTTCTCTAAGGTAGATACCCAGTGTGGGATTACTAGATTCAGATTAACTTCTGATGAAACTGGAAAAGGCAGATCAACAGTGATTCTGAAACCACAGAATAAAGAAAACGCAAAAATAGAAATAGAATGAGGAGTCCTCCCTTTAAGCCTTGTGTGATTCAAACTAGGCTGCAAGAGTTTTGGAACATTTTACCAAGTGATAAATAAGTGTTTTTAAGGTATGGCCAGATACCATTGAAGAACATGGTGTGTTTTAGGTGGGTCACGATCATTTTTTTATTTTAACAATTTTATATTTATTTTAATGTATTAGGAAAAACAATAACTAACTTATCCAACCTGTGATTTCACAGATATTGTTAAGGAGGCCAAAGGAGGTAGCACCATGGCAATCTACTTTCTACAGACCACACAAAATACAAGCAGAGTACTTAAGTAATATGTTGATACAGCAAAACTTAGAAAGGTGACATGCAAATCACTGGTTTTAGAAACAATAAAGTAAATTAGAAATTAGTATGTAGAACCTGAAAACTACAGTAACTATTGAAGAACAACAGGATTTTGGCTAGCAGAAGGGGCTAGGTGCAGTGATCCTTGACAGCCATTAAAATCTGAATGGCAAACTAAGGCAAGAGAAGCTCTATGTTTATCAAGATCTTACATTTTCCCTAAAAATGAGCTGGGTTTGGCCTTCTTCTTATAGTATGTGATGAAGAAAGCTTGACAGTCATGCCCAAAACCAATATTCTGAATTTCTAAATCCAAAGTCCCCATCCACTCACTTATCAGTATCCTGCTCAGGTTTCTAGAAGATATGGCCCAGAGCATGCCAGCACCATGAACTCTGTTAGTGTCAGTCCCTTTCTGCTTCCTTAGTCTGGCAAGCTGCAATGTACCCCATGACACAGCTGGGTTCCAACATCAGGCTACTTCTCCATCCCAAAACTACACTCCTCAGAACAATGGTCTCATTGTGAATCTTTGGTGACTCAATTTCAGCCCTCCTGTTATTCAGAAAGCACCCCCCACCCTGATTTGGGTAAGCAGGAAGTAAGCATGGCCCAAAACTCCATTCTTGAAAAATAAATGTGGGGTCCTTATGTGGCTCTCACCATGGGCTGAGACCCACACTTTAGATACCCAAAGGGCTCCCAAGTGTGCCCCCAGTAAGTTCCCAGATCAGAGCCAGTTATTTGTAGTTCTCTTCTAGACATTCTTCTAGACACGTCTAAATTTAGACTGATTTCTTTTTTTGTATCTTTATTCTGCTTTCAGCTAACTTCAGTCAACCTGAAATAATGGTAACTTCTAATAGAACAGAAAATTCTGGCATCATAAATTTGACGTGTTCATCTGTACAAGGTTACCCAGAACCTAAGGAAATGTATTTTAAGCTAAAAACCGAGAATTCAACTACTAAGTATGATACTGCCATGAAGAAATCTCAAAATAATGTCACAGAACTGTACAGCGTTTCTATCAGCTTGTCTTTTTCAGTCCCTGAAGCAAGCAATGTGAGCATCACCTGTGTCCTGCAACTTGAGTCAATGGAGCTTCACTCCCTACCTTACAATATAGGTAAAGCTGCTTCCCAAGACTATTTCTTTCATCAGGTGTTATACCCAAAATGTTGAGGCAGATCATTCAATGTTCCCTGCTTGCCAGGAAGCCTCCAACAGGGCCATTTTGTGGTACTATTAGGAAGGAACCAGATGGAGGGCTCCTCTGAGTGCTGCTACAGGGTCCCAGAGACTGTGAACTTAAACTGCACTTAAGGAAGTATTCCCTTAGCCCTGAAACTGACCCAGCCTTTTGGGCTACCTTTGGATAGAAGATTCTGAAGTTTAAGTCAGAAAATGCAAGATTCCTCCAGGCTAGAATTCTTCCATTCATACACATACCCACACCCACCCACCTACACACATACACACATAATCATCATCATCATCATCATCTATACATACATACATACATACATACATACGGTACATGCTCTGAGTACAGAGCCACTCTAGATGTTGTTGGCTGCAGACATGAAACCTAAAATGTATAAGACATGCTCTCTGCCCTCAAGTACCTTCCAATAAAATCAGAAGTCCATGATGTACACACATGAAAAACTGGATTTTAAAAAGATTGAATTGGGATCTAAAGCATATCCCATGGAAATATGCAACTAAATTTAAAAACAAGAGAGAATGATAATCAGTTTTATAGACATTTGGAGGTAGGTAGGTTCCTTGAGAGCCAGGGAAGTCTTCCTAAAGAAAATGGGACCTTAAAACACCATAAAAGATAACTGGGCTTTAAAAGTACAGTGAAGGGGTGCCTGGATGGCTCAGTCGTTTAAGTGTCTGCCTTTGGCTCAGGTCATGATCTCAGGGTCCTGAGATTGAGCCCCATGTCCAGCTCCCTGCTCAGCCAGAGAATCTGCTTCTCCCTCTCTTTCTGCTCCTACCCCCACTCATGCTCTCTCTCTCTCTCTCGCTCACTCACTCTCTCTCAAATAAATAAATAAAATCTTTTTAAAAAGTAAAAAATATAAAAGTATGGTGAAGAGATGACAGGTATCAGACTTGTGGTTTCCTGAGCAGAAAGAAAAAATTCTCAGACAGCATCCAGGCTTAGAAGGTGAGAGGACCAAAATCAATTAACAGTATTTGATATGGGCACAGGTGGTGATGGTGGGCATATGTGTCAGGGAAAGACTAAGAAGCAGAGATTCTTGTGGCATGTTGACAGTGTAGTACAGGGTCCAGTCCAGCTGGAGGAAAGGGTTGAAACTAAGCAGTGTCTGCTAATAGAAGTCTAACATTTTAAAGTCCTGGCTTTGCCCTGGGGAAAATGCATCCATGTTTGAGACCCCACTTTTGAGGAGCAGTAACTGCAAGATTCTCTCCTGGAATAAAGCACTCTGCACCCACATTGCCCCTACCCCTGCCTCTTCTGATCCTGACCCCTCTCTTCCCACACATCTACCTTCTGCTTACCTTGGCCCCTTCTCCAATTCTGGCCCTTTGGTTTTTCCTTTCCTAAGGCATCCATCCAACTCCTTGCTTCATCCTCTAACTTTGCTGCTTCCTTTCTCCTGCTGTCTCATTGTTGCAACATAACTTGGTCTATGGACACATTCTTACGGGCAGCCACTGGAGCCAGTCCCTCTCAGTAAGCTTTACCAGTGGGCCAATCCCTTCTCTTGGTACCGATCGCCTTCCGCCAAGATATATCTCTGCCTCTGAGAACCCAGTAACTAGGCCGCACAGAAGCCTGGTTGCTTCTACTGTAGCCTCTCTTGGCCTAATAGAAGCCTCTCTTTCAAAAAAAAAAAAAAAAGAAGAAGAAGAAGAAGCCTCTCTCAAGCTATCCCTGAGGCTCAGCACCTGTTTGGAGCCAGCAACACCACTGCACATGACATGCCTTGGGGCCTTCTGTCATGGCTCCCACAGTCTACAAATGAATAGGGCCTTGCCATTCCTGTAGCTTCATCATGGCTCCCCCTTTCTGCTCTTCCTCGACTACTGCCCAAACCTTCCCAGCTGCCACCATCTTCAGAAACATTTCAGCTCCAGCTGCCTCAGGAAGCCAGGGCTTGCCTCTCTCTATCCCTGTTCTAGGGCTTGACCAGAGATAGTGTTGACCCTGAATCAAGGAATCTTTTTGGGTATCAAAAGGTAGCATTCTCCATGTTATCAAGTATAACCCCTGTTTACTGGGAATGCTAAACAGGCTCCAGTGGTATAAAACTAGGACAGACTCAAAAATTGTTGAATATGGGTTGCAATGCAGCAACTCCTTTTCCTAATGTCCCAGGAATGGGGTATGTGTTTACAAATTGCAGCTAAACTAATAGGTCAGCTGGTATTATTTTCCTGTAATTTGAGATTAACTATCAGAATGAGTCCCATAAATGTCTATAAAATGGGCCACTCAGTTCTAAGCTTTCCCCTCAAAGTCTATTTTTCAACTTCCTGGAAACTTAGAAGTCTCCAGGCAAGGAAGAAAGTCCTGACCTCCCAAGAGCTGATTCTAACCCTGCTTCCTCAGGGCACAAAGAGATATCGAATGTATCAAAGATACATTCTGAAAGCCCCGTTTCTTCCACTGTGGCCTCAGTGGGAAAAAAAAAAACAAGCAAAACTGGAGGTAGGCAGCTGTTATATTTGTCCAAATGAGGTGCGTCTGACGCCTGATCTAGAGATGATAGTGAATGGAGAAATTATTACAAGGGAAACTTCAGGACTCTAGGCCTGGCTATACATGGGCTGAGGGAGCAGGGTGTACAGATGTCTATACATTCAAAATTTCAGCATGGGTACCATACCCATATGCAGAACTAAGGGCCAGGTTGACTTTCTTCTTCTAGATCATAGTCATTGTCATCCCCACCTCTAGGAAGGGAAGGCAGCTTAGTCCAGGCTTTTGGCCAGAAGCACTGGCTTGGTTCTAAGCTGCTAAGGCCCTAAGCCTGGGACTTTCTATGGCCTCATATTGTGGATTTCAGGCTCCTCTGGCAGTAGAGCCCTGGGGAGATGCTGACTTGTAAATGAAGACAACAGTAATTATAAACCTTTTATAATCGATCTTCCTGGCTGATTAAAAACTTGTGGTCATTTCTAGATGCACATACGAAACCCCCCCCTGCCCGAGACCCCATCCTCTGGATTGCAGCTGTACTTATAATGTTGGTCATTTTGTGTGGGATGGTGTTGGTGCTCTTTCTAACACTAAGGAAAAGGAAGAAGAAGCAGCCTGGCCCCTCTCATGAATGTGGTGAGTCAGTGCTTGTCCCCTCTGCAGATTGCCATTTTGCAGCTGCCTCTGGTCAGCTACTTTCTGGAGCTCATTGGTTGGGCTCAAATTAGCAAAAAGTCAGCAAGTGGTTGGAGGAAAAGGTTTTCCCTCAGGTTTGGAGCCTGTATGGATGGGACTCAACATTGTTCTCAATTTCTAGGAGAGGCAACATTTCTAAACTAAGGTCTACAAATGTACTTCCGGTTTCCAGACAAAACTGATTATTCCTTGCTTTAGCTACCTCATTTCATGAAGTTACTGTGAAAATTCAATGAAGTAAAATCATGAAAATACTTCTAAATGTTAATGACTATGGACCTGGCAGTGTTCAAGCAGGGAAGCTTGGGGGGGTGGGAGGGGAGGATTAGATGACCATAAGATTTACTTCCATTACTCTAAAAGTCTAGGTTTCTGAGAAAAAAAGTGTTATGAATTGTTCCCCATTGACTTTTTAAAAATAATATTAACTTTTATTGATTACCAAGTATAACATACCCATTACCAAATATGCTGAAAAAAAATATCTATAGTACCACTAGTAAGAAAGAAATGGTTATACAGACAATATTTTGGTTTATATCTTCCAGATTTTTCTGGAATCTATGTTGTTTTCCATAAGTGGAATAATACTATAAAGACTGTTTTTCATAGTTTGGATAATACCATATGTACTGTTTTTTAATTTATTTGTACTAAACATAGTAAGAAAATCTTCAGTGTCACTAATTATCATTCTATAGCAACATTTTAAATGGCTGTGAGATATTCCATTTTGTGGATACACCTTAATTTATTTAACCAACTCCACATTCTAGGACAGTTAGGTTGTTCCCATAGTTTTGCTATTATAAATAGCACTGCACTGAGCAGCCTCCTCATTGACTTTTGTAAAAGTGGCACTGTGCTTAATGGGGGACAAAGGGGTCCCTGACTTTGTAATAATCTTATGCTTCTTTGTGGTGTAGGCTGGTTTGGGCGAAGTTGCAAGGTAAGGTTGGATTTTATCTCAGTAATGGCTGTAGCAGAAGTTTGGTTGGTGCTTATAATTAAGGTAACCTTCTTACTCGCTTTGGTAAAAAGCATCAGATGAGTAATGCTTCTGATGAGCATCTTATTTAAGATTTCAGTGTACTGATTTTAAGATCCACTAGAAAATAGATGGATGACAGTAACAGTCACTCATTTCATCCTGCTATATTTTAAAAACAAGAAATTGGGGAGTTGATTATCCAGTTTCAAGAAATGAATACAAAGCTTATGGCAGAGTCATATTCAAACTGCCAAAACATGGGGTGTGCTGATATAATAGATTTCTATGATATAAAAGTGTAAAATTCAGAGCACAGGGCCAGATGTACAGATATATTGTGCTTATTGAAGCTTTGACTTTTCAGGGTGAGAATTATGAGCTGTTTCTTTCAATCTCATTGCCATTTAGAATTAGCTAACTATGCAGAAATGAAACAAAGAATAAGGGGTGGAGAAAAAGAGAGGAAGAATGTTTCTTCCCCAAGAGGCAATCAGAAAAACTCAGGAGACAAGAGAGTTAAAGAAGATGTGTGTGTACACATGAAAGAAGCTGAAAAGGGGTTCAAGAAGCTTGTGTATGCATAGGAAATGGTCAAATTAAGCTATGAGTGGTAAAAGGCAAACTATAACAAGAGACTATAACATAAGACCTCCTCCCCACAAGAATGTGATAAAGAATATTGCTGGAAAGTTTGGTCAGATGGTCACCTGTGCTAGTGAGTTTGGTCAAAGAGAAGAGTCTTAATATCATTGGAGGAGAAGATGTACCAAGTAACCATGCCATGTAGATATGTTTGTAAATTTGGGTTCTGTAATTCAGCAATGTCTGCACTTGCTTTGTGGATACTTCTGGCATTTTCTGTATGATAGACTGCATAATGCCCCCAACAAGATGTCCACCTCCTATTCACAGAACCTATTATATGTTATCTCACACGGCAAAAGGAACTTTGCATATGTGCTTAAGGTACTGACTTTAAGATGATAAGATTATCCTGGATTACCCAGGTGAACCCCATCTAATCACATGAGTCAGAGCACCTTTCCCAGGCTGGGTTAAAGAGATGAGATGGAAGGAGGAGAGATCCACATCTTGAGACAGACTTAACCCACCATTGTTAGCTTTGAAGATGGAGGAAGGGGCCATGAGACAAGGAATGTGAGTGACCTCCAGAATCTGCAAATGGCCCTCAGCTGAGAGCCAGCAAGGAAATGGGGATCTCAGTCATACAACCACAAGGAACTAAATTCTGCTAAAAAACAGACATGGAAGCAGTCATGATCCATCCACAGAGACACAAGCTTACTGATAACAAGCAGGAATTTCTCCAAAAATGGAGCTTCCCCCAATCCAATATTAATCCATTTCTCAGAGGAGGCAGCCCTCAAACTAACTCGGCATCAAAAGTCCTTTCCAGTATTTGTTTGGTAATTACAGTTTTTCAAAGCCCCAACCATCCACATTTACTCTGTTCAGGCTGTTAAATGAATAAAAGGGAAATGCCACCATTATTCTAGCTGGTTTCTAGTCTCTCTTCTCGTTTTTGATTTTTCAAATAGGACAGATTAGGTATGAGAAATTGTAACCTTGAATTACAGTCTTTTCCCAATCAGAAGTTACCCTATCAACTTACCCATCAGGGAGAGAGACTAAAATAGCTCCTCCTGAAGTTTTACTTCCTCATTTGGGTCTTGTGTGACTGAAATCTGTATGTAATAGATCCCTACCAACCAACAGTTTTTACAGTTTGCTGCCCTCTACCAAACCTGGAAGAGTCTCTGCTCTTTCAGGAATGATTTTTTAAAGGGCAAGTGTCTTTTCTGAAATAAATAATTTTAACCACTATTTAGACAGAAACCTTCACAGGACTTAAAAACTGTAAGTTGATGATATCATCACATCTGGCCTTCAAAATGCTAAATTTGTAATCAAATCCACAAGTTTAGAATCTGCTTTTTTATTGTCTGCTTTCATTTTAAAACAGAAACTTTTTTTGAAATGGTGATGATTTTGTCATGGGTATGAAAGGACAATGTAAATATTCTATGTTGGTCTACAGACATCTGAAATACTATATTTAGTTATAAGTAAGCATTTTTTTTGCATTGAACTTTTTTTCTTATTTTATTATGTTATGTTAATCACTATACATTACATCATTAGTTTTTGATGTAGTGTTCCATGATTCATTGTTTGCATATAACACCCAGTGCTCCATTCAATACGTGCCCTCTATAATACCCATC